TTGCAGTACAGGTACTGAAAGGTTTTCAGGTATATCTGTTTACCTACTTTGTACATTCAGTTCCTGTCCAAAGTGATAATTTCCAACTATTATTATCATACTGGTCATTTCTTTATCCTAACCCCCCAAGCTTGTGGAAAGCTTCTAACCATTTACCAGTCCTTCTGGCCCCTGTGGAAAACCCATCTTTGAAGAACAATTCAAGGCATGTTTGTTTGGAGAAGAGATTCATGTTGATAGTAAAATTTGTTTTTACATTCAGGAAGGGTGACCATGAAGACTTATTAGATTCAGGGGCCAGGGAGATAGTACAGCGGATAGTGTGTTTGCCTTGCACATGACCGACTTGAGTTTGATCTCTGGCATCCCATATGGTTCCCCAAGCACTGCCAGGAGTAATTCCTGAGTGCAGAACCAGGAGTAACCCCTGAGCATTGCTTGAGCATTGCTGGGTGTGGCTCAAAAAGCAAAAAATAAAAACAGACATATTAGATTCATGCTTTCATGGTTGGCTTGAAGAAGTACTTTGGCTTTTCCTGAGCTTCAACTCTGTCTTGTAATTCAGCATTGCAAAGCAAGAACCACCAGCTGTAAACAGCTCCCACTATCAGTAGGCCTGAGCTAGCTCCATGTTCGTGTTCCTTCCTCCACGACTTATGTTCTGCCATACCCAGTGGTGCTCAGGACTTATTACCAGCTCTGTGCTCAGGAATAACTCCGGGTGGTGTCTGGGAGACTATTTGTGGTTTCAGGGATCAAACCTGGATTCGCTGTATGCAAAGCAAGCACCCTACCTAATGTACTATCTCTCCAGCCTCTAACCCTTTATTTTGTTTTAAATAATCATGTAAAAGATTTTAATATACTACACTTTCTTTACCCACTGTCATTGAGTATTTGACTTGTCTCCATATTTTGGGTAATATAATAATATATCATTGTGTGCACATATAATTTCACAAAGAACAAAGGTATGCATTTGTTCCAAGGAGTCAAATCACAATAGTAAATGGCAGTTCTATTTTTAATTTCTTGAGAAGGTTTAATATTGTTTGCTATAGAAATTAAACCAGACAACATTCCTACCTCAAGTTAATGAGGTTTGTCTGATTTTTTTTATCAGATCCCTGCTGCACTGGTTTTTCCAGTCTTTTTGGAATATGCCATTCTCACTGATGTGAGATAATAACTCATTGTCATTTTGATTTGAACTTCCCTGATAATAAACAATGATAAACACTTTTTTCTTATGGATTCTGGTCATCTCTTTGTCCCCTTTGCAGATACATCCATCTCCTTTCCCCATTTTTTCCTAAATTTTAATTAAAAATATTTTCTTTCTTCAGTTTTTAAGACACTGTGATTTCAGTACTGTTAATACTTTCATACATACAACATTCCAATGCCACACTACAATCAGAGTGTCTATTTCACCATACCAGTGCCCCATCTTTCACTGCCATCTGCCCATGGACCCTCTTGATAAGCTCATATCTGAAGATCAGTTCTCAGTTTTTTGTTGCCTTTGGACATTTGTTACTTCCTTACTGTGTTTCTTTATACACATGAGGGAGATTATTCTTTATCCATCCATTGCTTTCTGACTGGCTTCACTCAGCATGGTATTTTCTAGTTCAATTCACATAACAGCAAATTTCATGATTTCATCTTTTCTTGTAGCTGAATATTATTTCATTGTGTATATATACCACATTTTTTGTCCTGTATTCTGTTCTTGGATACTTGAATTGTTTATAGATCAGAGTTGTTGTTAATAGTGTTGCATTTGACCATACAGGCACAAATGTCTTTCAAAATAGTGTGTTGGGGTAGATGTCATGTAGTGGAATTGCTAGGTCATATGAAAGTTCAACCTTTATTTTTTGAGAAGCTTTTATAATTGTAAGTTGAATAGTCATCATTTCCAACCAACGATCAGTGAGAGTTCTTTTTCCTCGCATCTGTGCCAGCAATGGTTGAGATTACTCATGAATGGATATCCAACTTATTTAAAGCAGTCTCCACATTTTTTGGTATGATAGGACTTTTTCAATCTAAACTTTAATTTTGTTGGTAGTTGATTTTTTTAAAATTGAATCACCATGAGATACAGTTTCAAAGTTGTTTATGATTGGTTTCAATCACACAATATTCCAATACCCAATCTTTACCAGTGTACATTTCCCATCACCGATATCTCTAGTTTCCTTCCTGCTAACCCTCCTCCACCCCCAGCCTGCCTCTATGGCAGGCAATTTTCTTCTCTGTTTCTCTGCCTGTCTGTCTCTCTCTCTGTCTCTGTCACTGTCTCTGTCTCTGCCTCTCTCTCCCTTTCTCTGGGCATTATGGTTTGCAATACAGGTACTGAAAGGTTATGTATTTTATTTCTTTTATTTCTTAAATACATCTCAATTTAAAAAAAGAAAAAATCCCAGTATCTATATATAATTGAGTATTTATTCATTCATATATTTGAGGACACCTTGGTTGGCAACTGTGAAAGAAGTTGCTATAAACGTCTATGTACAATAAATGGCAGTACTCCTACATTTAAAAAAAAACATCCGGGGCTGGAGTGATAGCACAGCGGGTAGGGCATTTGTCTTGCATGTGGTTGACCCGGGTTTGATGCCCAGCATCCCATATAGTACCCCGAGCACCACCACAATTAATTCCTGAATGCATGAGCCAGGAGTAACCCCTGAGCATTGCTGGGTGTGACCTAAAGAGCAAAAAAATTCACATGCAGGTTTTTGTATGAACATAAATTTTCTCTCTTACATACATTCACAGGAACAAATGTGCAGTATTGTGTGGTAAGACTATGTTTATATTTTTAAGAAACTGCCAGTTTTCCAAAGTGGTTTTGCCATTTCATATCTCCATCAGCAGTGAATCAACAGTTGCTCCATATCTCAGAAGTGCTTGGAATTATTAGTGTTTTGAATATTATCCATTTTAATAGATATGCAATTATAGTTGTTTTAATTTGTAATCCCCTAATGACTTAATGTTGAGCATCTTTTCATATTATTATTGGATATGTATATGTGAAATCTATGTTAAAATCTTTTGCCTAGTTTTTAAATAGGTTCTTTATTTTTTTAAACATAGCTTTCTTTGCATTGTTCTCTGACTATATAATAGCTGCTTTACATTCTCTGTTTACAAAATCTAAGAATTGGATTCCTTCCAGGACATTCCTTATGTTACTTTAAAAATAATTAAGTCTTATTTCTATTTTTAACCCTGATTCATAAATAATTTATGTAGTTCATATAAATTGATCGATCAAATGGAATGTTAGATTGCCTTCAATACCTTGGAACACTATTTACTTTTTTGTCTAGGGCTATCTTTGTGTGAAAATCAAGTTATAAAAGAGGCAGGTCCTATGCAGACATGTCATAAATCAGTCTTAGTTTATAATTCCTGTTTTCTAAGTCAGCCAGAGTTGAGTTCCTGGGAGCTTCTCCAGGCCCTTATCTTTCCTGGTCATATTTACAGCTTTGCATTGTATATGCATACTTCTAGATTCCACAAGAATATTTTGGAGTTTTCCAGAGTTCCATAGGGTCATCTGCATTGCCAGGTCTTTTAATTTTTTTTAGCCAGGATGTTCTGTGCCCCAAATAGAAATCATACATAGACTTACATGTTGTGGAATTTTCACCAGGCCAAAATGGGAAAAACCAGAGAACTCTCTCACAAAGCCCTTAGAGACACGATTTATTCACACCCTGGCAGGGACCCAGGCTTGAGCAATTGCTCTTCTGCTCTTTTATACTGGGTGTCCCCTGCAGAGGCAAAGTAGGGAATGTAGACTTTATTAACCCCACCTATTGAAATGTGTACAAAGTTAAAGGCCTGGGGAGGATCTAGCTAGAGGACCGGAGGTAGAGGGCTATGGGAAAATGCTGATAAGAGAGACACATTGCCTGAGGAGCACAAGCAGAGGCTCTAGCGAATAGGACCTGACCAGACTTTGAGCAATGTATCTCAGCAGGAATGCTACTGCTCAAACATCTCCGACCTTCCCACTTTAACTGCCAATAGGGACTTGTGATATTTATTACCAATAAAGTTCTGTAGTGTTCTGTAACGTTCCAAGAGATCATGCTTTTTTTCAAAAGAGTTGAACTCGAAGCAAATAACAAATAATAATAACAAATAAGATAATAACATGCTAGAAATGTACATTTTTCCAGGGTGCTGCTATTTTGATGAAAATACCAGACTGTATTCTGGGGATGAGACTTTTAATGAAGTTCAAAAAATATATTGACTGTGATAATGCTGATTTTCATGGCAAACATATTTCAGAGCTTGGGAGGAGGGGGAGTTGGTAATATACTTGAGTTATCACAGTTTGTGTTCTTGGTGATACTAATTTTACTTGAATGTATCCTTTAGAGTGTTGTGTATCCTGGGTTAATTTCCAGTGCTATCAACTGGTTTGTTTCAGACGTTTTCTCAATCAATGTTTTGTTGCTTCCGTTGAAGAGTGGGTTAATTAGAATCCCAAGTTTACTGCTCCAGACATTTGTTTGTTAACACCTTTAATTTTGATATAAGTAACGTTTTTCTGAAACAGTGCTTTGTTATTTATGTTTATAGGTTCTGGTTATAAATGACATGTAATCTTTTAGTACTTTTTCTTATGCAGGAACTTTTTTTATTAAAGAAATGATTTACAAAGTTACTGATAGTTGAGTTTTAGGCATATAGTATTTCAACACCAATCCCACCACCTGTGTCAACTTCTCTTCACCAGTGTTCCCATATTCCCTTTCCACCCAACTCCTGCCCCATCCCCAACTGTCAACTTGACAGGCACATCACAAAGTTCCCATGGTTGCAGCTTAGATCTCATGTTTTCAGTGTTGTGGACTCTGTGTTTTGGATATGTGGCTAGACCACTATCCCATATCATCATATGAAGTCCTTAATGCAGGACCTTTTAAGGATACATTTGGAACAGTCGCAATTTTCTTTTTCAGGTTCCTGTAAGTTCTGATTCTGTAGATTCACCTGACAGTACTGAAGTACCAGCAGATCAGAGGGAGTGCAGCAAAACTGTGAACACAGAAGCCTTAATGACAGTATTTCATCCACAGAATTTGGAGACTCTTAACTCCATTATGGTAGGAAAAGATACTATTTAAATTTATGCTCTTACATATGAACAAAACAAAATATCTTAGGGCCTGGGAGATGTCTCAAAATGCTGCAGCGTGTGCTTTGCATGTGGAGGTCCGATCCAGCAACAAGTTTTATCCTCAGCATTTTATGGTCCCCTGAGCAGTGCTCTAGGAGTAGCCCCTGAGCACTGCTGAGTGTGACTTCAAAACTTTTGTTTTTAAATTAAACTAAAAATACATCGGCTCTCTGCTCCCTTGAGAAACCCAATCTTGAACATATCTCTTTTTCTCTCTCTCCCCCTCTCAGCTTCTCCCTATCTCTCCCTCTCCCTTCCTGTTCTTATTTCCCTTACTTTTGCTCTTTCTCTCCTATTATATTACCTGAATAAAGATATTGTGCTTCAAAATAAAATAATTAAAATTTGGTACAGATTAGAGAGTACCACAATTGAAAACTCTTCAGGGCTGAAAAGGTTTTTCACTAAGTACCATGTACGATTTGTTTAGTTCCATTACACATAAACAGTGTTATCAAGAATTAATATAGAAGATTAAAATATACCATTGGCTTTTATTTGCATAGATTTCAGCTAATCCTAAAATTGGGATGCTTGGGGAAGAATGAAGGATCAACACTTTGCCTCTCAAGTATAATGGAAAAGAATCTTATATATAAGAAAATAACTAAACATTTACATAGTAAATTTTAATCATTATACTCACATGAGTTTAAAAGATGATACAGTGGCCCAATGTAAATAATGACTTTTACTTTCTATATTTGATTTTCATAGGTGTTGTTTCATGAGAAATAGAGTAATCAGTTATTTGAAAATAGTTATTTTCTCTGTGTTCCATAGCTTTGATTTTTTTTATAGCTGAAAGAAAAGATGAAAGAACAGTCATGGAACATCCTATTTGCAGAATGTGGGCGTGGTGTTAGCATGTTCCGAACCAAAAGAACTCGAGATCTGGTTGTAAGAGGAATTCCAGAGACCTTAAGAGGAGAGCTCTGGCTCCTTTTTTCAGGTATTGTGTTTACTTTATTCATTTATCAGATACTAATTGTGCCCATTCTATTAGTTATACACTAAGCTAAATTAAAATATTTACAAAGATTGTTAGGAAGATACTCATAATTTCTAACTAATCAAACAGAAGATTTATCTTTACTTAGCTATATATTCACACATCCATTGTCTCAGCAGATTAGTTTATTAGGAAAGATATGATTGATGGTAGGAAAAAATATTTATTCTTAGTGTCAAAACAAATTTAAGAGGAAATCCACTTCAGGATATTCATCTGTTAGGTAAGATTAATGGTCTGGGATTATAGATTCTAGTGTGGAGCTTTTCCTTCTGTTTGTATTTTGAGATCGCTTGAGCATACAGCTAAATTTTACAGTAATTCATTCTTCATGTATATATGAAATAGTAGCTTCACTATATTCCTTTGGTACCATAACTTAATGCATTCATCTGTACAGGTGCTGTTAATGATATGGCTACTAATCCTGGCTATTATGCTAACGTGGTTGAGAAGTCCTTTGGTACCTGCAACTTGACTACTGATGAAATTGAACGTGATTTGCGTCGCTCTCTTCCTGAGCATCCAGCCTTTCAGAGTGATACTGGTATATCTGCCCTGAGGCGGGTGCTTACAGCTTATGCATACAGGAATCCCAAAATTGGATACTGCCAGGTATGACTTAAGTATGAGCTCAGCTCTCTGCATAATTATAAATGATAAAACCATTTTTTTATTGAATCACCATGAGAACAGTTACAAAACTTTCAGGTTTAAATCTTGGTCATACAATGATCAAACACCCATTCCTTCACCAGTGCACATGTTCCACCACCAAGAACCCCAGTATACCCCCCATCCCATCCCTCCCCCTGCCTGTGTGGCATTTGATTTTCACTTTACTCTCTACTTTCATTACATTCAATTTTTTGACAAAAAACCCACTGTTATTATTTGGAATTTCCCTACAACTATCAGACCTGTTGAAAAGGCATCATTAGATAATTTGTTTTCTATTGCTGATAATGAAGCGTGTATGATAATGCGGTCGTGCGATTTTGAATTTCTGGTATTTTAATAATTAAGTCTAGAGGGATTTCTGCCAAAAGCCACTGTATTCCGAGATTGGTTTGTATGCCTCTGAGGTAATGGCCATTCAGGAGCAGAGGAGCTGCTTGTGGGCGGCAATTCAGGGTCTCGTCCAGGCGGGGGAAGGGATAAAACCATTCGATATGCCAGACACAGTAACAACAAAGTCTCCAATGGAGACGTTACTGGGCCCGCTCGAGCAAATCGACGATCAACGGGAGGGCCTTTATCTTTTATTATTTTAAATCCAACTCTAAAAAATTGAAAACTGTGGTAATACAAACAGAAGTTGAATTGAGTTTGACAGTAGATGTTATTATTCTAAGTAGAATAGTATTGGGGATACTTAAATTTTTCCTTAAGTGTAACAATACCTTAAGGAAACCTTAATACCTTGGTTTGTAAAAATGATACCGTGTTAGTTGCTTAAGGCCATGACATTGAATTAGGTAAGCGTTCTACCCTTTAAAGTATATAGACCAGTAGGTGTTAAAATATATTCATTGGCAAATGAAAACAAATGCAACAAATTATTAAATAAACAGAGTTCCATCATAGTTTATAATAGGAATAAATTATTTGTATAATAATTTATTATCATGGAGGAATTAAGAGAAAAAGATAGAATGAAAGAACATTCCAGTTAAAAGGATCCTGTTGTCATTGACCCAAAAGAGCATTTTCAGAGGCCATTTTGACTGGCATCATTCCCAATATGGCTTCCTGACTAGGAGCATAATAAGCAAAATTGAGGCTGTGATAAAATATGCCAGATCTGACAAGGAATTGATACCTTAATGTAAATACTTCACTGTATCACTGTCATCCTGTTGTTCATCCATTTCCTCGAGCAGGCACCAGTAATGTCTCCTTCGTCCTAGCCTTGAGATTTTAGCAAGTGCCACATTCGAGGCTCTTTCAGAGTCAGGAGAATGAGACCCATCATTGTTACCGGTTTTTGGCATACTGAAAAAGCCACGGGGAGTTTGCCAGATTCTGCCGTGTGGGCAGGATACTTTTGGTAGCCTGCAAAGTTCTCCATAGTAAGAACTAGATAATGAGATGTTGCACGGACACAAATGTGGCCGTGCACTTCCGGGAGCTGGGTTTTATAGTCTCTGGGTCTTGGCCATTGATGGGATTACACGGCGCCGGGGGCAGTTGGTGGTTGTAAAGCCTACATACTGGAAGATGGCGAATCTGGTTGGAGGAGGCCCAGTCCCAATCCGAGCACGCTTGGAGATCTACGCCCCGGGTCCCGAAAAATATAAGGAAAAAAGTGAAAACATGAAATCACAGAACATAAAATATAGATTAACAATAAAACCATAAAAAGTTCAACCTCAGGTCAGACAGATACTGCAGTGGGTAGAATGTTTGCATTGCAAATCGCTGGGTTTAATCCCTAATATCACATATGTCCCACAACTGAGTCCTCCAGGAGAGATCTCTGAGCACGGAGCCAGGAGTAAGCCCCAGTATCACCAGATGTGGCCAAAAACCATAAAAATTTTCATCCTCAAATTAAAACTAAAAAGAGATATTTTTTCACTATTAAATCAACATAGACCATTATAATTACTATAATGCTTAGTATTGGCAAGCAGTAATAAATTAGGCATCCAACAAACTATCTTGGTTTAAATTAAGTTGATGTAGTGTTTCTGGAATGCAACTTGAAAATACCAACTTATGTTTTGTTTGTTTGTGTGGGTACCACAGACAGTGTTGGTCAGGGCTTACTCCTTGCTTTGTGCTCAGGGATCACTTCTGTCACTGCTTGGAGTGACTATATGGAATACTGGGGATTGAACACATTGAAGACCTCTATATTATGTTCCCAGAGAAATCAGCTCATGTAAAAATAGTATTATTAGACAAAATTTATTTCTAGGTGTCTTACATAAGAAAATTTTAAAACACTTAGGTAAATATTTATACGAGCGGCCAACATGGCCGACCCGAGTTCGATTCCTCCGCCCCTCTCGGAGAGCCCGGCAAACTACCGAGAGTATTCGATATGCCAGACACAGTAACAACAAAGTCTCCAATGGAGATGTTACTGGGCCCGCTCGAGCAAATCGACGATCAACGGGAGGGCCAATTTCATTGTTATATGTTTATGAAAAATTAGAGTTGACCAAAATGTACAATAGTCATTCAATTATACTAAATTCAATGGATGTAATAATCTTATAGTCATTTAAAATACTATTTTAGTGGCTGGAGAGAGAGAAAGTTCAGTGAGTAGGGAGCTTGCCTTCCATGAGACCAATTTGGTTTGGATTCCCAGCACCCTATATGGTTGTCCGAGCCCTACCAGAAGCGATCCCTGAGTACATAAAAAGCCTTGAGCACTGTTGGGTATAGACCCAAAACTGGGCCCACTCAAGCAAAATCAATGAACAATGGGAGGACAGTGCTAAACAAAATACCATTTTAGAAGTTCGGGCTGGAGCGATAGCACAGCGGGTAGGGTGTTTGCCTTGCACACGGCCAACCTGGGTTTGAGTCCTCCATACTTCCCAGAGAACCCGGCAAGCTACTGAAAGTATCCCGCCCGCACAGCAGAGCCTGGTAAGCTTCCCATGGTGTATTCACTATTCCAAAAAGAGTAACAACAAGTCTCACAATGGAGACATTTACTGGTGCCCGCTCAAGCAAATCGATGAATGATGGGAGGACAGTGCTACAGTGCTATCTAATGTCATTGAATATGTTTAATACTAAATGAAAAAATATATACTATTTGGTCCAAATTTTAAAAGAGAGAAAGGGACGAAAAAACACAAAAAGAGCACCAGTGTGTTGAAAGTGGTGATCTTTGGGTACGTAGGAAAGATTTAACTTTTCCACACCTTTCCACATTTTCCAAATTCTATACTTGAAAGATTCAGTACTTTTATAACAAGGGTTTTTGTCTAATGTTAAATGAAAGTTATAGTCAAATGTGTGCAAACTAATTAGAAGGAGAAAGGTGTGCAGTTAAAGGGACTAGAGAGGATAAAGCAAATGTAAAATATATTGTGGAGTGTAGGATAACATTGCTTTGTCCTTTCTCTCTTGCCACAAGGAGCTTAGGTTTACCAGGTCACACTAATCAAAGTGCTCCAGAGTCACTCCTGTTCTTTTGTTTATCTCTAACCACTTCTCCATCAATCAGTTTTTTCCCCTAATCAGTTTCTGTTAATTTCTAAGGTCAGATCTTTCTAGGACACTGGACTTATATTATAAGTTAATATTTATTGCCTTTCTCTTCTCCTTATTTTTTTTGAATAGTTTACTTTAAAGCCATGTCCTTTTGTATAGACACAAGAAGACAATTAATATTATGCTTTTGTAACTTGGGATTTAATTGGCTTCAAATATTATTCATTCCTGGGCATCTGCTTTCTCAACTTAAGCCTCAGTTTCCCTTACTTCCTAACGTCCCCCAAAGCAGGGTCCCGACGAGGGACTAGATGGATGGTAAGCTATGTGCTACCCCGGCATTGAGATGGGCCTGGCCAAAGTGCCACAATTCTTAACCATAAGTTAAGAGCTTGATCATGGACAAATGCTGTCGTGATCTAAAAGTAACGATGAGACTAGGACCCTGCTAGGGATAGGAAAGACTTATCTGGCCTGAGCACGATAGTCTCAGAACGGGATGACCCAAGGAGAGCAATTCTATAAAGCTTAATGCATCTCTTACTGTGTCCATACAAAATGATTAATATTATGAATGCTTATGTGTTTGTTGGACAAGGAGAGGAGAAACACACCCATGGGATTCTGCCCTTGGGTGGGTCATCCTGCTGAAAGAGAATCTGTCCTAGAAGAAGCATCCCCTGAGGAAAAGAACTTTACCCCTACTGATTGTGACCACACCTATGTGTAAGCCCCAACCCCTAGGTTTGGGGGGTTTAACTAGACTGTAATAGTGGACTGGGGGATCCAAGATCCAGATCGAGATCCAGAGTCAGAGCCAGAAGGAGAAAGGGGTTACAGATTGGGACCTGGGAGAGGAGACAGAGAGACAGAAGTGAACGGGGATGAGAATGGAATAAACAGCGTCTTATCTATACACCGGCTTGGCCCTCAGCTCCTCTGCCATCTGCCCTAGGACCAGGGCCGCCCAGGCTGGGGGAGAGGCCCAGGCCCACCCAGAACATGGGCAACCAGGGAAAGAGCCATTGGAGCCACCCCTGGCTGCCCTTGAAGTTTTATACAGTTAAGGAGTAGCTCTAGGGTCTGAAGACAAATTGAATTACAATAGCAAAGCAGAGGATCTTTCTTTCCCTAGGGAAAGAAGTGTTTGGTTCTAGACATAACTGAAGTTGATTGACATTTAAGGGATATTCTGCTTTGCAGTGGTTGAAAATAGAGGTGAACTTTGTTTCACCATTTTAGTATGTGCATAAAAGTTATTTTTTCAGATTTTCAATAATTATGATTATTTGCTTTCTGGGCTGGAGCAATAGCACAGCTGCAGGGCGTTTGCCTTACAAGCGGCCAACATGGCCGACCCAAGTTCAATTCCTCTGCCCCTCTTCAAGAGCCCGGCAAGCTACCGAGACTATCTCGCCCGCACGGCAGAGCGTGGCAAGCTCTGATGTATTCGGTATGCCAAACACAGTAACAACAAGTCTCATGATGGAGACATTACTGGGCCCGCTCGAGCAAATAGATGAACAACAGGAGGACCGTGACCGGACCGTGACCGTGAATTTGCTTTCTGAAATTATACTGCCTACATTTAAGAGGCTTTACTTACTGTTTTCTATATTCATGATATTACTGCGTTATTTTCATTGAATTTACTATGTAAAATATATGATTAACAAATGTTACCTTGACTTTACTTCCTGTTGCTTTGCAGTGACTCGGTGTTCTAATGTTTATGTTCTGAATACTCTTGTAGTAGTTACTGTTAAGAACTATTGTGTTTGAAGGAAAAATGTAATTACTTGGGCCCTACTTACTTTTGATGTTTTCTATGAATTTTAGGCAATGAACATTTTGACTTCAGTATTGCTTCTGTATGCAAAAGAGGAAGAAGCATTTTGGCTTCTGGTTGCGGTTTGTGAAAGAATGTTGCCTGATTATTTTAATCGTCGAATCATTGGTAAAAAAATTCTCACATAAAAACATCTTTCTTTTATAAATATTTAAATCTCTTGCTCAGCCAATTACCAGTCAAATGTATAAACTGATCGACTAGGGTTTCTTTTGGTGTGGGGAGGAGAGGTTTGGGCTACACCCAACAGTACTCAGGGCCTACTCCTAGCTCTGTGCTCAGGGATCACTTCTAGTGGTGCTGAGGGATCCCTATGCAGGACTGGGGATTGAACCAGTGTTGGTCACAACATATACAAGGCAAGTGCCTTAAACCCTGTCCTATTTCTCTACCCCAAGGTTTTGAAATAGAAAAATGAAAATAATATTGAAGTGATATTTTGATTTCACATGTCCCATTCACTGACATGTTGTTGAATATCCAATTAGAAAGCTTGTTTAATGGACCTCTATAAAATAAAATGCCCAATATTTACTTATTTTTAAAAAACATTTTATTGAGGTACCAGTGTTTACAATATCTTAATCACACTTTTCATGTATACATCATTCCAACACCACAATCATCCCCAGAGAGCCCACTTCCCTTTACCGTTTCCAACCCTCCCGTGGAAGCTCTGTTCCTAAAATAGAAAATATAAGTGTACCATCTTTGTAATACTAGAACAATGGAAATCTGAAATACTGGGAATTACTGTGTAATTTCTGATAGTTTCTTGATAAGGTGTGAATTCTAATCAGCATAAAAATCTCCATATTTACTGGATTTTATAGTTGATTGCATGGTTTTTTTAAAAAAAGAACTAAATTATTTATTTTTAGGGTTTTTTTTTGGAGGGAGCCCATAGCTGTTGGTACTCAGGGCTTACTCCTGGCTCTGTGCTTAGAGGTCAATGCCGGTGGTCCTCATGGGAACATATATGGTTCCTAGGGTAGAATTTGCATTGGCATCTGCAAGGCAACCTCCCTATTATACTTTCTCTCTGTCCAAGAATTAAATTCTTAATTAAATTCTTTGTATATTTTCTTCACTCATCAAATATAAGATCTATGACCCCCTACATAAAACAATAAGTGTTCTCCCTTTTGTACATTCATAAACCATTGTGTCAGTTATTAAACAGTATTTTAGGCACCATGGTTGACAAAACTATTATTGGTAGGATTTTATACATTAAAGATTACATCACAAACTCTCCACCAGACTGTCTGCTTCCCTCTACCATAGTCTGAGTTAAACCCCCACACTTCACATGTACTAAGCTTCCTATTGAAAACCAATTCTCAATTTCTGTTGCCTTTGGGCATCTGTTAATTGGGATCCCTACTACATTTCTTTATATCCACATATAGAGAAATCATTCTATATCTGTCCCTCTCCTTCTGAGTAACATCAGTCAGCTTGACACTCTCCAGATCCATCCATGTAGCACAAATTGCGTACTTTCCTTCGGGTCATTTTATTTTATTATCTTTTGCCATAGCTGTGTTTTTATATTAAGTTTGACTAGATCGAAGCTATTTTAAGATGAAGCCATTTCTTAAATTGATGTATCTCATGCCATAATTATTTCAGATTTCTGCACATAATAAATACTCAATAAATAACTGTTTGAATGCATTTGACATTTGAATTGAGCTTTTCAAATACTTGATACATGATACTGCTAGTAGATACAGAGATGCGAAATCTAAATAAAACACTAAAGTAGGTCATAATTTATAAAAGAGAAGTTAGCTATATCAGCATACAAATAGGACTAGGAAGGTATTAAAACAAATCATTTTGAGAAGTATTCATCGTAAAACCTCTTTTCTGTTCTCCAGGTGCCTTGGTGGATCAGGCAGTATTTGAGGAACTTATCAGGGACCACTTCCCCCAGCTCACAGAACGCATGACTGATATGACATTCTTTTCCTCAGTTTCTCTTTCATGGTTCCTCACACTTTTTATTAGTGTGCTGCCTATTGAAAGTGCAGTGAACGTGGTAGACTGTTTCTTCTATGATGGAATACGGTCCATTTTACAGCTGGGATTGACTATAATTGAGTATAATTTAGATAAACTGCTGGCATGTAAAGATGATGCTGAAGCTGTGACAACTTTAAACAGGTACTATCAGACCTATAACATCTGGGGGAGGTTGTTTTGGCGTCATACTTGGCAGTGCTCAGGGCTTTCTCCTGACTTTATGCTCAGGTATTGCACCTTGTGGGTTTGGGGGAGTATATGAGGTTCTGGGGATCTAACCTGGGTCAGCCACGTACAAAGCAAGCCCCCTGTTGGCTATACTATTTCTGCAGTCCCATAACATTATGATTTAAATGTGAGGAGACCCTTAGAGATTATGTTGCTCAAATTCCTTTTTTGCTGTTGTATTTTTTGCAGGGGGGCACATCCACTATACTCAGGGCTTGCTCTTGACTCTGCAGCCAGGGATCACCCTTATTTTATTTTAAAGATGAGGAAACTGAGTTCTGGAAACCTTGAACAGTTTGCCCAAGCTCATGAAAGTATTTTAATGAAAAGTCTACACCTAAAGTCCAGTCTTCAGTCACCAAGTAGAATATAACCAAAGTAAATCACTTTGAAATGAAAGTCTAAATTATCTGTAAAGTTCTATTAATACCGTTGATTCCATGTGCTAGAATTTTGACTTATAGCCTAGGATGAACTTTAAAATATACTTATGTAAAATTAACTTAAGGTGGGGAGGATAATAGTTGGCAATGTTAAATATCCAGTAGGGAAAATTGTTCTGGTTTCCAACTGGTTTGGGTCAGTTACGTTGAGCTTTATTTTCCTAGTACCTTTCTGTGAATACTATTTTGTAAGGTAGAGGTCCAGAGCGTAGTTCAGCAGGTAGGGCACTTACCTTGCATGCAGCTGACCCAGGTTCAATGCCTGGCACCCCAGATGGTCCCCTGAGCCCTGCCAGAAGTGATTCTTTAGGGGCTGGAGCGATAGCATCGCGGGTAGGGCGTTTGCCTTGCATGTGGCTGACCCAGGTTCGATTCCCAGCATCCCATATGGTCCCCTGAGCACTGCCAGGAATAATTCCTAAGTGCATGAGCCAGGAGTAACCCCTGTGCATCGCCAGGTATGACCCAAAAAGCAAAAAAAGAGTGATCCTTTAAACACAGAACCAGTAGTTAGCCATGAGCACTGACAGGTGTGGACCAACCCTACCCCCACCCCCACAAATTAACACTATTTTTGTAATGAAATATATTTAAAATGTGTGTACACTACATAAATACTATATAAATGAAGTTTAATTTGGTAACTCTTGTAATGGTTCATGCATCAAATCCCATTACATACAGAATCTCATTTCATTCATACAAGTACAAACATCTCATTCTGGCTTTAAGAACACTATCAAAGCTTTATTATTTGCCCTTACTATATCTTTTACATGTCCCTTGATTTTTCATACTTACTGGGCTATTTGTTATTTGCTAAATGTTTTTGAAGCATGTTTGTTTCCTTCCTCTTCTCCTTCTCTGATTTCAATTTCTTTACCATCCCATTTCCCTGACTTGCTTCCTATTTATTTATTTGGTTTGGGGGCCACAACCAAATAACTCCGGCAATGCTCCGGAGTTACTCCTGGCTTTATACTCAGGGATCATTTCTGGGGATGCTTGGGGGACCATATTTGGTGCCCGGGATCAAACCCCACTTGCCTGCTTGCAAGCCAACCCACTGTACCCAACAGTACCCTAGCACTCAACTGTTGTTAAACTGTCATTAAACTGTTGTTAAATTCTATTGCTTTGAGGGCTTGTTCAAGTAGTTGAAATTCACCTTTGACTAACTATGGCAAAATCAGTTACCATGTAACATCACCAGCTGTATGTTACCTCAACTGAGTCTAGTATCACTTTTGCATAGGTTCTTTGACAGTGTCACTAATAAGGATAGCCCGTTGCCTTCGAGTGTTCAACAGGGCTCAAATATAAGTGATGGGAAAAAAAGCAGTCATATCAAAGTGGATATTGCAGACTTGATTAGAGAATCAAATGAAGTAAGTGTTTCTATGCCATAAATAAAATAGAACTTATGTTTACTGTGATTAATTCTATATTATATATCTCTACTGTTTTATTAAGAATAAGGTACCAGTTACAATGTCATTTTGAAATCCAGCATCACTTTAATAATGAATCTTATTAACTGTTCTTCAGTTTATACTGTAGTAGTTCTGCATTAGTGAGAGTCTTACTTTCTGTGGTTCAATTTGCCATTGATCAACAGCATTTCATACAAGATATTTTGAGATTGCTCATTACCTGTATATAATTTTTATTATGATATAATTCTTTCTGTTTTACTATTAGTATTATTATGCTGGGCTGGAGCAATAGCATGGCGGGTAGGAGATCCCAGCAAGCTACCGAGAGTATCTCGCCCGCACAGCAGAGCCTGGCAAGCTACCCGTGACATATTCAGTATGCCAAAATCAGTAACAACAAGTTCTCAAAATTTGTTGTAAGAAGTTATTGGTGCCCACTCGAGCAAATCTATGAACAATGGGAGGACAGTGCTACAGTGCTATTATTATGCTATTAATGTACCTAACTTATAAACTTTACTATAGGTATATGTGTTTCGGGAAAAAAAAAAACAGTATCCATGCATCCCGTGGATTATCTGATGAATTGGTTCTAGGACCCCTGTGAATACCAAAATAAATAAATACTGATATTCTTTATATAAAGTAGCATAGTACTGTCCCTTGCAGATAAAGGGAGTCTACCTTACAGCATATTTTATTCAGTTTTCTTTTCATTAAGTGAAACTGTTCATTTGCTTTCATAAAAAAATGGCTGATTTAAGAATACCCACACTCTATATAAAAAGGAGAAAATTATTCTCTTCTTAGAATCTAAGAATTTTGCTAATGATCTTGTACTAGTCTAGACAAGACACATAGTAAATGGAATTCTCTTTAGCAACTGTGTAGAAAAATTGAAATGTGGGAGGTGAAGATTTGCATAATCACTGAACAAGTTAGAAAATAGCTAGAAATAGCTAGCAAGGCTTCTGAGAACCAAATCTGATGAAATTTAATTGAGAGGGGTAGATGTGTATTATGAATGAGTATCCACTGAAATCATATTTCTTACAGAAATTTGGTACTATTCGCTATGAAGATATACACAGCATGCGCTGTCGAAACAGGTTATATGTAATACAGACACTAGAGGAAACAACAAAGCACAATGTGGTGAGTTTCCATCCAATAGGGAAAAACCAATGGGAGTAACTTTTCCCAACTTTATTTCAAAAGTAATATTTGTTTTTAAAGAATTTCTTTTTTTCCCTTGCTTTTTGGGTCACACCCAGCAGTGCATAGGTGTTACTACTGGATCATGCACTCAGGAATTACTCCTGGTGGTGCTCAGGGGACCATGTGGGATGCTGGGAATCAAACCCTGGTCAGCCGCGTGCAAGGCAAACTCCCTACCTGCTGTGCTATTGCTCCAACCCCTAAAAGAATTTCTAAAATAACTAAATTTTTGAGCTCAGTGCTTGACACAGCTCAGCTTACTGTAAGTTTTTGGAGAGAAAATACGTTGGGTTTTTCTGCTTGAATTATAGTGGCTTCTCCAATTTATTTGTGTTGTTTGACCTTTAGTATTGAATGCTGTGATGTAAGAAGGTAAGGATTATTTGTGGTGTGCTACATCAAAAAAACTGGCACTGGAGAAATAGTATAGCAGCTTGCTTTGCCTTGCCTCATATGTGACCAACAGGAATTCTATCCCAGGCACCCCATATAGTCCCCAGGGCCCCACAAGAAGTAATCCCTGAGTGCAGATCCAGGAGTAATCCCTGAGCACTTCCAAATGTGGCCCAAAAATAAAAAAGTGAATAAATGAACAACTAAGCTATGTGATAACCAGTATGTATATGTGTTTGTGTGTGTATAACTATTTTTGATACCTAAGGTAAAGCCTAAAAATATACACAAGAATGTGTTTTAAATACACATTATTTCAGTATTTGTATGACTATATAAGAAGCTGTTGATATTGATTTGATCTGTAAAGTGGGTAAGATTACTAGAATCCTGGTGAGAAAAGTTACTTTAATATTTAAGATCATTCTGTACTGTTTATGTTTTTATTTTGTAAACCTATTTCAAAGCCAAGTCCTCAGAGATACAAATCTGGGAGGATCAACATTTCTGACTGTTCCAGGTATAAATTTCAGTTAAATAATTCAGTTATGTTTCTGTGACATAGTTACATAGAGCCCTTATTTTAAAATTTTTCCTTTGTTGTCAGCATCTTAGATTCCTTTTTCTGATTTACTTTTCCACTAGTTTTATTGAAAAATGATTGATATAAATAGAAACCTTTTAAATTACTGAAATAACAAATGCTCATTTTAAATAGTTTAGACATGATAGAAATGTATAAAACAAAGTTTCTCACTGCAGGAATAATCAATATTAAAATGATTTGCTATATGTTCTTCCGGATCCTTTTTCTACATATCTATGGATATAGATGTGTATGTGTATGTTGGGGGAGCAGGAAACACTGGTTTGTAAACAATATCAAATCAGTCACTTTATTGTGCAGTTTACTTTCATCACTCAGAAATTTATTATGCTCAGTACATAAGAGTGCATCTATATGTACACCACTTGTCTTACTGTTTTAAATTGAAATATACTTAATTACCATAATATGAAAGTCAGTTAACTTTTCCTTATCAATGTATATTTTTCCTATGATGCATTTAGTGTGTGCCATAATTTCCTCTTACAGAAATATTTTATCTGAATGCCCTTATGCATCTTGTATCAAACATTTGTAGTATTAAGTTTGCAGTGTAATTTTCTGAAAGTAAAAGTGGGTGTGTCCACTGAAAATTTTAGTGGGGTGTTGTTCCCATTTTAAATTTGATAGAACTTATCACCCAAAATTTTATAAAATCTTAAAAATTAATTATAATCATATCACCTGTGTGTAAGGATGCCCATTTCCCCACATTCCTATAAAATAATTTATTAAAAATCGTTAACTTATGCCAATTTTATAGATAAAAATCAAGACTCACTTTTGTTTTTATTTCATTGATCACCATGTTAGTCTTTTTTATTTTGTGATTTCCTACTCATAGTTTATGCTTATTTTTCTTATTGTCTTTTATTTTTATTTTTATTAATGGTAGGAACTTGTAAATTAGTGATATTAATCCTTAATTATATTTGTGACTAATATTTCCCTCTGCAAATATTGTTAATTTTTTATTAGTATAACAAAATGTATAAAAGTTTCTAGTTATTGTAGTCAAACTTTTCTCTGTTTTCTTATATTGTTGATTTCATGTCAGATTTAGCAAGGCCTTCCCTATATAAAATTACTTGAATTATAACCATTTTATCTTATAAATATTAAATTCAGTTGTATTGCTCTTTTAATGTTTAGATCTTTAACACAACTAATATAATTTTTGTTGTATGAATAGATTAGGGACTCTGCGCCAGGCTGTTTCCACTCGGGGAGCCCCAGAGAGGGGCAGGCGAAAGCCAAGGGACCCGCCCCAAGGGACCCAGTCCTGGCAGCCGACCTTCACTACCCAACCACCACCACGCTCCAGGCTACTTTCCAGACACATCATGGGACCATTTCTATCCATTGTCCATAATTACCATACCATGTTTGATGGAATTCAGACAGTGGGCAACAGATCATAGAGAGAAATATATATATATATATTTAAAAGCAGAAAAAAACTATATATGAGTGTGTACATAAACACACATATATATATACATATACATATATATGTGTGTATATATATATATATATATATATGCCTTACAGAGTGTCGGGCAAGCTACCGAGAGTATCCCACACGGGCAGAGCCTGGCAAGCTACCTGTGTTGTATTCGATATGCCAAAACCAGTAACTATAACGGGTCTCATTCCCCTGACCCTGAAAGAGCCTCCAATCTTTGGAAAAGACAGGTAAGAAGAGGCTGCTAAAATCACAGGGCTGGAACGAATAGAGACATTACTGGCACCTGCTTGAGTAAATTGATGAACAACGGGATGACAGTGACAGTGACAGTGAAATAGATTAATGATTTTCCCAATTGAAATAGTCCATTGTGTGAATATCATTAGTCTTTCAGATATGATGGAATAATCTTTATGGAATTCATTAGGCAGATATTTATTACTAGTATCTGGGTGCTGGGTGGTTGTTTCTGTTGTTTTTTTTTTCTTGTTTATTTATTTTAATGCTGAAGCTCAAACTCAGGGTCTCACACATGTGAGGCATGTTCTCTACCCCTGAATAACATACCTTGCCCCTGTGCTAGACTGTAATATATCTCTGCTTATTTTGTTCTTTCCTCTATTGATGTTTATTTATGATCTCTTTTATCATATTTGCTTGATATTTGTTGTTTGTTTAATAAGCCAACATTTCCTTTGTCTGTACTACTGGGTTTTTTTTTAAGTCCAAGTAACAAGGGACGTTTTATTATTTTTTTAAATTTTTTTTTTTGCTTTAGGGATCACATCTGGTGATGCACAGGGGTCACTTCTGGCTCATGCACTCAGGAATTACTCCTGGCAAAGAGTTTTTTATTTCACTAATGAGAATTTATCTGACCTCTATCATTTTCTCCTCTGACCTCTGTCAGTTTTTTTTCTGCTTTTAAAGTTATCATTAGTTTACAACATTATAGAATTTAGCAGTACGTCATAATACCTCTGGGGGCAGAGTGATACTACAGTAGTTAAGGTATATTCAACAGTTAAAATAAGATATAGCAGTTAAGATAATGTAGTGTATAAGAAGTAATAAGAAATGATAAGTTAAATAATATAGAGTAGTTAAGATAATACAGCAGTTCAGGCTTTGCATGCATCCAACCTGGGTTCAATCCACAGCACTCCACATGGTCCCCCAAGCCTGGCAGGAATGATCCTTGAGTGCAGAGCTGGGAATAAGAGCCCTGAGCACTGCTGGATGTGACCCCCTCAGAAAAACACAAAAAAATCACTGTCACTGTACCACTGTCATCCCATTGTTCATTGATTTACTCGAGTAGGCACCAGTAACATCTCCATTTGTCCCAGCCCTGAGGTTTTAGCAGCCTCTCCCTACTTGTCTTTCCCAGTGCTGCCATATTGGAGGCTCTTTCAGGGTCAGGGGAATGAGACCCATTACTGTTACTGTTTTTGGCATAGTGAATACACCACGGGTAGCTTGCCACGACACTCCATATGGTCTCCCCAAGCCTGCCAAGAATGATCCTTGAGTGCAAAACTGGGAATAAGAGCCCTGAGGAATAAGAGCCCTGAGCACTGCTGGATGTAACCCTCCCCCTCCCCCAAGAAAAACACAAAAATTATAATAAAATTTAATTTTTTAAAAAAGGTTAGCATTTAAGTATGTATATAGGATTCACCAAACCCGTGACAGGAGTTGTAGTCTGTTCCATCATAAAAAGACATCTCTACATGAATTCATTCCACCAACTCCCCCTTTTCTTCTCATAAGCACCAGAGTTTTCTTTGAAATGAGGAGTTAAATGAAGCAAACTGGTTAAAAGCAACAAAACTAGCCTCTGTATTTATTCTTTAACTTTTCTAAATGTATGAAACAGTGCTTATTATTCATGGATTCGGATAATATTACATATTTGGTAAGGTTATTCATTCTTGGATTAGGTCTCTTGGCACGGAGAAGGGATATGCATATCCTAATGCCTTTGAAGTGTTTCCTGAGAGCCTCACATGATGACTTGATGAATTGCTTATGTGGTGAAAGAGGAATATATGGAATGATACTTAGAATTCTGTTGCTTATATTTATAGATGTTAAGTGGATATCCTTTGGCAGTGATTTCTGAGTCTCAAAAGATGAAAGTCAAAATGCAGAATAGAAATGAACTATAGTCTATGTAGAACTTTTTTAAGGAACAAAGTGGTGCTTTTTTCTTTAGTATTCATTTAAAAAAAGTAAAAGAAAATTATTTCATTTTGGCAAAGGATTTGTATATGGACTCGTAGGGAATTTCCATGCTCAAGTGTTAAATTCTAAAGTGATTTTAATCTTTTCAAAGTTGCGTGTCGTATCACAAGATGTGAAATTGAGCCTTCATGAGTTGGATGAACTTTATGTCATATTTAAGGTACTGTTTTTCTTATTTAAGTATAAAATACCCTTTCTAAAGTATTTTACTGGAACCACTCTTACATAGTTTATCTTTAGTTATTTTAGTAGATATCTTTGAAGAAAAAATATTATAATACAGTTACTTAATTAATGACTTCTTTTTTCTTGTTTGTCTTTAATAGAAAGAACTGTTTTTTTCTTATTATTGGTGTTTGAGTTGTCCAGTTCTGAAGTACCATGATCCCAGTCTGCCATATTTGGAACAATATCAGATTGACTGCCAGCAGTTCAGAGTGTTGTATCATTTGTTGAGTCCTTGGACTTCTTCTCCAAACAGAGACTCACTAGCTTTATGGACATTCAGATTGCTGGATGAAAACTCTGACTGCCTTATAAACTTCAAGGAATTCTCCTCTGCAGTTGGTAGGGTTACATCCAATAATCTTCTTCTTTATATATGTACTGTAGCACTGTAGTTTATATATGTACATATTCATATATGTGCATATATATATATATAAAGGTAAAGGTCCTCACGTTGATCATCGATTTGCTCGAGTGGGCCCAGTAACGTCTCCATTGGAGACTTTGTTGTTACTGTGTTTGGCATATCGAATACGTCACGGGGAGCTTGCCAGGCTCTGCCGTGCGGGCAAGATACTCTCGGTAGCTTGCCAAGCCTCTCCGAGAGGGGCGGAGGAATCGAACTCGGGTCGGCCATGTTGGCTGCGTGCAAGGCAAACACCCTACCGCTGTGCTATCACTCCAGCCCATATATATAAAGGTACCCATAGAAATACTTAATATTGCCTGTTGTTGACAGTTTAGATTTTGACAGCCTGAGTTAGCATTAGCAATAACTGCTCTTTGGGTGTTTGCTGCAAAATTTTCAGTATATTGCTTTCATTTTTCCAATCCTCTGAGAAAAGCGAACTGTTAGACATATATTATTTCATTTTCTTAACATAAAGGAAATGACTATCCCCATTTTCCCACACCCAGACACAATGATACTTTAGAAGGGCTTTCGCCACTTAAAGAATGTCTAACATTTAAGGGACCAGAGAGATAGTACTGGAGACTAGGCATTTGCCTTGCATGTTGCTGACCCAAGTTTGATCCCCATCACCATATGGTCCTCACAAACTCACTAGCAGTGACCCCTACGGGCAGAACTTGGAGTAGGCCCTGAGCACCACTAAGTGTGGCCAAAAACAAACCAAAAAGAAAAAACCTACAAAACTAACATGTAGCCTAAAAATACGATATAGAAACAAATACCCAACAAATTAGTTGTTCCTAGAGATAATCTTACAATTGTATGATTTCTTTGCTTTTCCAGATACCCTAGAATGCTTTCTAATCATGGGTTTTCCAAAGAATCAGAGTTCTTTCCTAAAATGAGATATAAGGCCTTATTAAAAGAAAAAAAAAGTCAATTCGAGTTTGGGGAAAAGAACATTTTACCCTCTGTACGAAGGATATTTTTTGCCTTAAGTTACATGTGCTTGAAGGAAAACATCTGTCTGAGTGGTAGTTTAACTGTTAGTGTAAATAGCATGAAGTTTATGAATCTAATTCCTAATACCTGTATCTTAATCTGGGCTGGAGAGATAGCACAGTGGTAGGGCATTTGCCTTGCATGCAGCCAATATGGCCAACCCGAGTTCGATTCCTCCGCCCCTCTCGGAGAACCCAGCAAGCTACCGAGAGTATCTCGCCCGCATGGCAAAGCCAGGCAAGCTCCCCGTGACGTATTCGATATGCCAAACACAGTAACAAGTGTCACAATGGAGACGTTATTGGGCCCGCTCGAGCAAATCGATGAACAACGGGAGGACCATGACCTGACTGTATCTTAATCTGTGTTCTTGGAATTGATTTTATATGCTTTGGATACATGATTATTTTCAATTGATTTTTTTTGGACAGACATAATGTACAATGGAAGCTTTATTGAGAAAATTAAACTGCTTTTTAAACTGCATATTCCTCCAGGTAAGAATTAAACCAGGGGCTGGAGCGACAACACAGTGGGTAGGACATTTGCCTTGCACACGGCTAACCCGGGTTCAATTCCCAGCATCCCATATGGTCCCCTGAGCACTGCTAGGAGTAATTCCTGAGTGCAGGGCCAGGAGTAACCCTGTGCAATGCCAGGTGTGACCCAAAAAGCAAAAATTTAAAAAAGAATTAAAACAAAGTTCTTAAAGATGTACAAGAGTTGATTCTGTATTAACATTTTTATTTATAAATATAATTACATTTAACAATTGAAATAACTTTTATGTTATGGAAGGTGATATTTCGTTGTGGCCCACCGATCATATTGCCATTAGTTTTGCTGATTTGTGATCAAGTGCTATGTAACAGCTTGACTGATTTGTTCCCTTCCTGTTAGTGGCTAATGAATTTAATCATAATTTGTGTATAGAACTATTCATCATTTAACCCTTGGTATAAGGTTGAGCTTTGTTGTTGTTGTTGTTGTTGTCATTAGATTTTAGAATACATCTTTAGACAAAATGACAAATTTGAAAAAACACTATATTATTCTGATGAATGAGATATGGTAACAAGGATAATAAAAAATTAAAAAAGGAAATAAAATATATGCTAGAATTTACTCAGAATTTGCTCTGTTGAGGTTTTGAGTTTACACAACTTCCTTTATTTAATTCTTGTAATATCACTAAAAGGTAGGTATCAGCCTTCTAATTTTGACAGTGAGGAAACTGAGGGTCAGAAATCCAAAGGCCTGGGCCAGAGCAGGTAGGATGTTTGCCTTGCATGCGGCCGACCCGGGTTCGAGCATTGGCATCACATATAGCTCCCCCGAGCACCACCAGGAGTGATTCCTGAGTGCAGAGCCAGGAGTAACCCCTGAGCATCACCAAGTATAACTCCCCTTCCAAAGAAAGCAAAAAAGAAAATCCCGAGACTAGAGATATAATACAGCAGGTAAGGCACTTGCCTTGGGCATATGATCCCTCATGCCCCATCAGGTACACAGAGCCAGGAGTAAGACCTGAGCACTGCCCATTAGGCCCAAAATCAAATAAAAAGGAATGCTGAATTATTTGCCAAAGCTCACACATAGTTAATACGATCCATAGCAAAGAGGCAAACAGGTCTGACACGAAAGCTGAAGTTTCTTTCTCTTCTATTCACACTATCTCAATGTTAAGCAAATGAGTCAAGTGTTTCTTACTGAATTTCAGAGGCTTCCTTTTCCAAGTCCACTTCAAATTTTGGGAAAATGATTTTAGGCATTAAGGGAACATTGCAAAACTATCTCTTAACTTGAATAGGGAAATTCACAAAATAAATCACACCTCATTATTTGTTTAAAGTTATATCTGAGATCTTTTTCAGTTACCCTTTGATAGCCAAGAACCATTCTTTATAAAACCCAAGAGCTAAAAGCCATTTTTAACCCTTCACACATTCAAATCAGAAGCAGAACATTAAAACAAACAAAAGAACCTAATAATTTCCTTATGAAGTATTTTACATGTCAGGTCAGTTTGCCACTAAAATGTCTTGTATTCCTAGGAATTAATAAGCTTTCAGTAGAAGGACCAAAAATAGAAAGGGGGAGCACAATAGTTTGCATGTGTTAAAGTGCTGAACTTCATGATTTTTTCCCCTTTAATTCTTTATTGCAAGAATTTTTAAATAACTAAGTTCACATTCCCAGAGATTTCTAACTGCCATGTACTCTTATTTCAATTTGTAATGACCCTTAGGAAGTTGTCTCAAAGCTAATAGGAGAAATAGCAGAACTCAGAGTGATACCGTACTTTTTGCTATTTACTTACTTGTTCACATCGCTTCACATATGCCCATTGTTTCACTCTCCCCTTAAATTTACTTGACCCATTATATGATTCATTTTTGACCCTCATTGTTAGTAAATGTGATTTGGACTGTTTTCAGCTTATACTGAAGTGACACCAAAGGATCCTTCAAAGAGAGATGAACTCTCCAAGGAAGAATTACTTTATTTCAGTCAACTCCATGGTAAATATCTGTTTAAAAAATTACCTGTGTTAATGATTAGTCATTCAGACAGATCTTAATGAAAAATCATTAAAAATGCGTTACCTGGGGCTCGAGTGATAGCACAGAGGGTAGGGTGTTTGCCTTGCACATGGCTGACCCGGAATCCATTCCTGGCTTCCCATATGGTCCCCTGAGCACCGCCAGGAGTAATTCTTAGTGCAGAGCCAGGAGTAACCCCTGTGCATCGCCGGGTGTTATCCAAAAAACAGATAAATACACAAATAAAGAGACAAAAAGAAAGCTTTAGCTGCTAGTAAAATTAGGGGTAATTATGCTTTACCTTTCTTTGGTGCTATGATAGCAGCACAGTGCTAAATATATAGTAAGTACTCCATAAATATTTGACTAACTACCTAAACTGGATTTTTGGTTTGGGGTTTATGGAATTTCTTGTTTACTGGAGGATTAAAAAGGAAGTGCATGGTTTCTACTTACATTGCAGACATTTTTTAAATGTATAATACCATTTTCACGCATTGTTAGACTGCAAAGAAGACAATAGAATCATTGAGATTTGAAGGTCATAGCTATTGTTCCAACTGAATACTTATTATAAATCACTCCTTGGGCTAGAGAACAGGAATGAATATGTATCCAGCCAATAATTTGGAGCTGTTAAGAATTTATTTTGTGCCCTTTACTTCTTTTTCATACATATGCAATGACTTACAAAGGTCTGTGTTGAGATTAATATGTCTGTGGTCATTCTGTGTTAGTATTTGGACTTTACATTTGAAGAGAACTTACTACTGATCTCGTCCAAAATCTTGTTTTTATAGATAAGGGCATACTTTAGGAAAAGAGAAGTATTGTGACAAATTGTACAATGAATTTTTTGCAGTAATCCAGATTAGTAGCTCATATTCTGATTTCATTTTCCCTTGGTAATGAAAGAAATATAATTTTTAAAAAGTTATTAAGAATATAATATAGTCCCAAAATTAATGTAATTAAATATAACCTAAATATTTCCCATAGTTTTTTTCTCAGACTTTTTGTTTAGTATGGTTTTATCACCAGTGTTCTTTTTTTTACTGTAAAAAATTAACTTTTCTTGATTGGACTGGGACAATAGCTCAAAAAGCTAGGGCACATACCAGGCCTGTGGAAGCCCCGGGTTTGATCCCACACTGGCAGGAAAAAACCCTAAATACCTACCAAGGTGGGAATACCCGCAAAACACTGCTGGGTATAACTCAAAAACAAAGGAACAAGTTCTTGATTACATTTTGGGAACGATGCCAGGTCAGTTCAGTTGACTTAGTTGAATTGAAGAGAAGATGTGTTTATTAGGTCTTGTATAAAATATTGGTTTACTTTCAGAATTTATTATATTTTTGTAAAATTCAATTGCCCTCTTTTCTTCTAGTTTCCAAGCCTTTGGATGAAAAGGAAGCAAAATCCATAAAAAACAGCCCTGAGAAAGGTACTTTGATCTAGTAATATAATTTAGCTTATTGTTATTATTTTTGTAAATTGAGTTATATATACATAAAAGAAAAATGGATTTTCTTTAAAAGCTGCGGATTTGCCTCGAGTTTTAGTTACTTTGTGTATAGCAATTTATTATTTTTTCTCCTGATACTTAAGTCTTAGATTTTATATAAAATAGTAAAACAGACCCATATTCTTTTCATTTTTATTATTTCCATAATTACTTTAATTCTAAAATTTATCCTAAAGGACCAGAGCGATAGTACAGCAGGTAGGTCACTTACCTTACATGCTACCAACCGGGTTCTAGATGGCACCCCATGGTCCCCCAAGCCTGGCAGAAGTGATCGCTGAGCACAGAGCCAGGAGTAAGCCCTGAACACTGTCAGGTGTGGCCCCAAAATTTTAAAAATGATGTTATCCTTATAAAAAAATTCATACAGTACAGATCTATTACTCAATCCTACCTTGAATCAAATGTGAAAACATTTTGACCAATATCCATTCCAGGTTTTTTTAGGTATATACATAGGTAGACATTCCTCTCTTTTTAAAAAAAAAAACATGTATTGTATACAGTTCAACTATCTGCATTTTTTGGTGTTTTTAAATTTTCTTTTGGTTAAATCATTATAAATTACAAGGTTATAAAGTTATTTACAACTTTATGTCAGTGAGTTTCCGGTGTACTGTGTTCCAACACCCTTTACCAATGTCCATTTCCCTCCACCAATGTCCCTAGTTTTCCTCCCCACCCCCATCATGAGTCTATGGCACACACCTTTTCCTCCTTTTTTTTCTTTTTCTCTTTTCTTTTAAGCACTGTGTTCTGCAATATCGTTGTTGAGAGGGCATCCTGCAAATCACTTTATCACCTTTTATCACCCTATCCTTGCTTTTTCTTTCATTTTATTTTCTTAGAGTTTCAAGAATCAAACTCAGGTCTCATGCTTTCAAGATAAGTGTATTAATCAACGAATCATATTCCTTGCCCTTACTACTTACTTTTAATTTTTTTTCTCAGTATACAATGGACATCTTTTCATTTTAGTATATTTGGATCTATCTTTATTTTTCTGGAGGCCAATCTTACAGTTGTCAAGGGCTACTCCTAGCTTGATGCTCTGGGGATCATGGATTGCCAGAGATCAAAATTAGGTCTCCCACATGCAAAGGATGCACTCCAGAGCACTAAGATATGCCCTAAGCTATCACATTTTTAATGAGAACAAATTCTTCCATTGTTTTGTTGCAGAATAATTCATTCCAACAACTAACCTAATATTTAGGGACATTTAGCTTCTTTGCAATTTTTATGTGATAGAGAACTCTCTAGTTGTTCTCCAAAAACACATCATTTTTTATGTTTTTGAGTTAAGATTTACTTAATAGGTGATTTATTGCTGAAGAATTATTTAAATGTTAAACTTCCCCCAGGCATGGGGGCAGGAGACTCTGCCCTGTTCTCTTCCTGGAGCTGGGTTTTATAGTCTCTGGGACTTGGCCATTGATGGGATTACATGGCGCCGAAGACCTCCACTCTCCACACACATGAAGGTACTGGCAGAGGAACAAAGGCATGCGGGACCTGGGGCTGAGATCTCCAAGCCTGCTCGGATCAGGGCCTGAGTATCCTCCACCCGGATCCTCCATGTTCCAGTAGGCAGGGGTCACACCCACCAACTCGCCCCCTGGCGCCGTGTAATCCCATCAACGGCCAAGACCCAGAGACTATAAAACCCAGCTTCCTGAAGGACATCTTATTATCTCATTCTTACTTTGGACAAACTGGCAGGCTACCGAATGTAACCTGCCGACACAGCAGAGTCTGGCAAACTCCCCGTGGCATACCCAATATGCCAAATACCAGTAACAATGATGGGTCTCATTCTCCTAACCCTGAGAGAACCTTGAATCTGGCACTTTTTTTTTTGAAGAAATGTATTTATTTTATTGGTTTCTAAAGCCACAGAGAATTATGCATTTGAGACATCTTTATTTGCATTTATTTCTAACTGTAGACATGAAGGGGCTGAAACTTTTGTTTAACTGTTACATGAATGAAATCACTACTAAGTTTGGTAGGGGGATTCTTGAAATAGTAGCAAAATATTCTTCCTACCTCTCAAATCCTGTTACTTTAATGACTGTCTTTACTTACTTGAGAAAGATGCTTAATTTTCATTAACATGCTTTTTTGTAGAGGAGAGCCAAATTAATGTTTCTTCTACAACTCGGTCATATTTATATAATCATTAAAACTAGTGATTGTTTTATTAGATCTATGAAGGAACCATATTTATATTTTTGGATTTTCACTTTTCAGTTCCATGATATTTCATTGAATGAATAAACAAATGAGTGATACAACCTTTCAAAAAGTTGAATTCTTTTTTCTTCCTAATGTTCTAGTAATACCAGTTCTTATTTTTTTTGTCTTTTTTTTCCTTTTTTTTATTAGTGAAACACCATGAGGTACAGTTGTAGATTTACAATTTTTTGTGCTTGGGTTTCGATTATACAATGATCAGATACCCATCCCTCCACCAGTGCCCATTTTCCACCACCTGGATAATATCCCCCCCACCCCCATCCCCCCATCCCCCCCCCATCCTCCCATCCCCCCCTGCCTCTGTGGCAGGGCAATCCCCTTTGTTCTCTCTCTCCGTTTGGGTGTTGTGGTCTGCAAAAGAGGCATTGAGTGGCAAACATGTTCAGTCCATAGTCTACTTTCGACATGCATTCCCCTCCTGGGAGGATCCTCCAAACACCCTTTATTTGGTGCTCCCTTCTCTATCTAAACTGCCCTTTCCTCTAGGATACCCGGCTGGCCTCTAAGTTATGGAGTAATGCTCCTGGTGCTGATCTCAGCTATTCTTGGGTATTAATCTCATATTTTGTTACTTTATATCCCCCAGATGAATGCAATCTTTCTATGTCTATCCCTCTCTTTCTGACTCATTTCGCTTAGCATGATACTTTCCATATTGTACCACTTGTATGTAAATTTCATAACTTCATCTTTTCTAAGAGCTACATAGTACTCCATTGTGTAGATGTACCAAAGTTTCTTTAACCAGTCATCTGTTCTTGGGCATTCAGGTTTCTTCCAGTTTCTGGCTATTGTAAAGAGTGCTGCAATGAACAAACAAGTGCAGATGTCACTTCGACTATACATTTTTGCCTCTCTGGGATATATTTCCAGGAGTGGTATTGCTGGGTCAAATGGGAACTCAATTTCTAATTTTTTGAGAATCGTCCATACTGTTTTCCAGAAGGGCTGAACCAGTTGACATTCCCACCAACAGTGAAGGAGTGTCCCTTTCTCGCCACATCCATGCCAGCATCGGTTGCTTTTGTTCTTTTGAATGTGGGCCAGTCTCTGAAGTGTGAGATGGTATCTCATTGTGGTTTTGATCTGCATCTCCCTGATGATTAATGATGTAGAGAATTTTCTCATGTGCTTTTTTGTCATTCGGATTTCTTCTTTGAGAAAGTTTCTGTTCATTTCATTGCCCCATTTTTGGATGGGGTTGGATGTTTTCTTCTTGTGGAGTTTAACCAGTATTTTGTATATCCTGGATATCAACCCCTTGTCAGATGTATATTCGGCGAATATCCTTTCCCATTCTGTAGACTGTCTTTGTATTTTGGTCACTGTTTCTTTGGAGGTGCAGAAGCTTCTTAGTTTAAGATAGTCCCATTTATCTATCTCTGTTTTCACTTACTCGGCCAGTGGCGTGGCATCTTTGAAGATACCATTAGCTTCAATGTCATGGAGGGTTTTGCCAACTTTGTCTTCAATGTACCTTAAGGTTTCTGGTCTGATGTTGAGGTCTTTAATCCATTTTGATCTTACTTTTGTACATGGTGTTAGGCAGAGTTCTGAGCCCATTTTTTTGTATGTAGCCGTCCAGTGATGCCAGCACAATTTATTAAAGAGGCTTTCCTTACTCCACTTCACATTACTTGCACCTTTATCAAAGATTAGATGATCATATGATTGAGGGGAGATGTCAGTGTATTCAACCCTGTTCCATTGGTCTGCAGTTCTGCCTTTGTTCCAGTACCATGCTGTTTTAATTATTACTGCTTTGTAGTACAGTTTGAAGTTCGGGAGGTTGATTCCTCCCATTTTCTTTTTCCCAAGAATTGCTTTAGCTAATCGTGGGGGCTTACTGTTACATATAAATTTCAGGAGAGTTTGCTCCATTTCTTTGAAGAATGTCATGGGTATCCTTATAGGGATTGCATTGAATTTTTACAATGCTTTCGGTAGTATTTCCATTTTGACAATGTTAAGTCTCCCGACCCATGAGCAGGGGATATCTTTCCATTTCCTCATGTCTTCTTTTATTTCCTGAAGTAGCGTTTTGTAGTTTTCTTTGTACAGGTCCTTTACTTCCTTAGTTAAGCTGATTCCTAGGTACTTGATTTTCTGGGGCACAATTGTGAACGGGATTGTTTTTTTCATGTAGCTTTCCTCTCTCTCACTGTTTGCGTATAGGAAAGCCATGGACTTTTGGGTATTGATTTTATAGCCTGCAACTTTACTATACGAGTCTATTGTTTCTAGGAGTTTTTTGGTGGAGGTTATTGGGTTCTCTAAGTAGAGTATCATATCATCTGCGAATAGTGAGAGCTTGATTCCTTCCTTTCCTACCTGAATGCCCTTAATATCCTTTTCTTGCCTAATCGCTATTGCAAGTACTTCCAGTACTATATTGAACAGCAGTGGAGAGAGTGGGCATCCCTGTCTCGTCCCTGATCTTAGAGGGAAGGCTCTCAGTTTTTCCCCATTGAGGATGATGCTTGCTGTAGGCTTGTGGTAGATGGCTCTAATTATGTTGAGGAAGGTCCCCTCTATACCCATTTTGGGTAGGGTTTTCATCATAAAGGGGTGCTGGATCTTGTCAAATGCTTTCTCTGCATCTATTGATATAATCATATGCTTTTTATCTTTTCTTTTGTTAATATGATGGATTATGTTGA